TGTCGCGTCCCGAACATACAGAAATCTTTTGACGTTTTCTGCTAGTTCTTAGTGCTCAAGTAAAACATCGGTAGCTTTTCGTACCCGATCCAGTTTCAAATACGTAACTCGTCTGTTTATGCAGGACGTCCCAGGTAAGACCAGTTTAGTTACTTGCTAGACGTAGAGCTAAGAAATGAATACTCGCTATTTAACCGCGATCGCGACGCGACAATGGAGAATATCGTATGACTACTCTTAGCGCGCGACAAAACCGGGGCCAACTACAAGAGTCGTGGATAAGATGCGATTTTTGTGATCACGGTTTTGTCGCAGTCTAAGAGTAATCATACAACATTCTACCAAAAGCTACCGATGTTTTAGTTGAGCACTAAGAACAAGCAGAAAAAGTGAAGTCCATTGATCTATAGGTGAAAATATAATAAACATATATTAGGAAAAGTAAGATAAAACGACCGCAGCATACAGGCGACATCTTTGACGTAGAGCGTTAAATCATGTATAAGACGCTTCTTTAATACCTTCGCGACGAAACGCTGCACTAGTGGGTCACACTATGAAGTAACCCAAAAGTTCCTTTACTCAAAAATAATTCAATAGATCAGTCACATTTTAATTCGGCTGAAAACTGATAATATGAGAGGTGTGAGAATTCTGCTGCAGATTGAGTAAAAAGATTCGACATGTCGTTTGTTTCAGCAATAATAACGTATATATAACTTTAGTAATGCAACAGATCAGTCATACTCGCCATTCTCTGGGGTTTTCCCCTTTATATCTTTAAGTTTTCGTTTCTATAAATATATAGCTGTTAGTCCGAGTATACATAGACTTTGTCGGTTAGTGAACAGACCAGCTGGTAGTCTTTTTATTTCATGTTCTACACTTATAGAATTTTGTTATTCTTTTAAAATATATATCTTATATTGGTATTTTGTATTTAATAACATCCACGGAGAAAGTGTTTCTTATCGTACGGCACGGGAAAGCGCGGGATTTAACAGCTTAATAGTTGAAAACAAAGTGAGTGATAAGAAGTGGTTGGTGTAGTTTGTCTATTAGCGCTGAGAATTTCAAGAGTCCAGGTAGCACTTCGTCTGAGCTATGAATTTTCTAATTTTTACAGTTTTCCGCTGGTGAAAATAGAAAAACCACTATAACTTTTTAAGAAAGTAATAAGAGACAATATCCATTTAGGCTTTTTACTATCTCCATGTATGCTATCGATTGACAGGAAAACGAAAAAAAAACGGAGTGTATCACATCAGAAAGGTCCCTCGTAAGTTATAGACGAAATAGTTCTTCAAGTCTAAATTTAAAAATAGATATAAATATATAAATAAATAACTTATATCTCAGCTTAGAAGCATTTGTGCATCTTTGTGCTATCTTTCGTAGATGTCTTATATATAGAAGTATAATAGCTGAAATTTTCATTTAGTTTCGAGTTTGGAAAAAAATGGAAACCGCACTTTATTGGACACACGTTTTCGGAAAACACTTAGCGGAGGATGAACAAATATTTTTCTCGGTTTCAAAACGTACTGGGAAAATTTTTTTTACGAATAGATAGAGTGACAGATCTCGTTTCGAACTATGAATAATTGTTGTGATTGGCATATCCGGTGTTTTTCGAGAAAGATTTTCCTACTTAAGACGGTACTTAGAAAAAGAACTTCCGCTGACACTTCAATAGAGCGTATATTGAAGTATATGACCTGCTATTCAAATCTTGAAATAGTGCACTTTCGTCTTTCCCTAAAGTGCACGTGATTACTCACTGTGTGAAGGCCAGTTACACTTATATTGGCGCAAAGTTTCATCAGCGTAAGCGAAAGATAAAATTTACAAGAGAAGATTATATTCCGAATGGAATTTATCATTTTAAATACTGAAGAGGAATATATTCTGATTTGGGTATAGGACCGCACTAACAGTTGCTCGGCTGACTCGCGTTATTTGTTGTATATCGGCTTGTCCAAACGTAACGCTATTACGTTTTAGGTACACTTTTTTCCAATTATTTCGGAAAGTTTGACAGCTAGAAAGTTCGTTCAAACGCCATTCGACGCAATTCATCATACTGTATATATGCTATAAAAACGAAGTTTTTTGGTTGAAGTCTGGAGCTTCGAGAAAGGCTTTTCATCGCGTAACGCTGTTACATAAAAAGACCCTAAATTTGGAGTGCTCTTGCTAAAGTTCTAATTTCCTGCGAAAGTCGTTCTCCAAATGACATGCCCCTACAAAAAATTTTGGAGAGCATCGAACAAGCTTTTCAGCGGTAAAAGAAATTTTCTTTCAAGTATTTTTACTCGCGTAAAAAAAGCAAAAAAAGAAACGTAACGCTGTTATGCATTTTTTGTAACACCATTTTAAGGCACTCAGCGTTCTTCAAACAACTTCACTTTTAAATCGAGTCGAGAGTTCAAAGCTACAAGCAGCTCTTATACCTCGACTGAGAAATATTTCACAAAACAAAAGGAACCATTTTCTAGAGAATTGAATTCTCTACTCGACGGTATATTTTCAAAATAAAGGCCGAATTCGTGATCAGCATGAAAAACTACGTCTGCTGATGGGCTCCTATCGACTTACCGATGAAAAAAAAAAGCTTGATCAGCGAAGTATCGCGTTACGTGCACAAGCCGATATTCTCTAAGTTATAGATAAAATAGTTCTTCAAGTTTAAATATAAAAATAGTTTAATATAAAAAAAGCGAATAGTTAAGGAATGCTACTGTCAAATAGTTAATCAAATACGTAAATTTTTCTTTTCTTCCGTTGCTTCAGTTTTTAATTGAAAACGTTTTTCTTTCAAATCTTTGCTCAATGCACTTTTAGCATTGTCCAGTGTTTTTATTTCTTTTCTTGTTTCAGCTAAATCATCTTCTTCTGTATTTAAATCTTTCAAATATCGTTTCAATAGATCTGATGTATTAATTTTCTCCAATGATTTAATATTTTCTCTTAGACGCACTTGATTTGTAAATATAGAATTAATATGTCCATTTAAATATTCAATTCGTTGATCCAATTCTTTTGTTCGATTTTGTATATCTACTATTGTTAATACTTTTTCTAAGAAATGTTTTGGTAATAAATCTTTCTTATTTTGCCAATCACGTACAGTCGTTTCAGATATATTTTGTTCATTGTTATTTATCATTAAATCAAGTGCACTATCAATATATTTACATTTGACAATGCGTTGAATAAGTTCTAATATTGATTTAGATAAAACATTTGATTGATGCAGTTCATTTGCTTGTTTTTCCAAAAATGTTTCCAAGTCAGACAAATTAGAAACATATTTTGTACTTGTAGCATTTTCTGTAACGATTAATTCAACGTCTTGTTGTGGCTCTAAACTTAATTGAAAACGTGAAAAACCCATCACTGATTTGATACAATTTTCTGTGCTTGTTACAACGTAACCGCCTAATGAAGCATCGGCACTATGATCAATATAAAATTTTTCTACACGACGATCAACCGCATTATTTTTTATCTGATATTTTGTTCGTTTGGTATAATTTTGTAGTAGTGCAATGCCAATAGGTTTTACTGTTATTGAATTATCATCCGATGGAGAATAAACTATTTCAACATCTTCAATTTTTATTTCCTGTAAATTCGAAGGTAGTGTTTTTGTGACTGCAATCGTTGTATCTAAACCATAATTAATTAACTGATCGTCTTTTTGAAGCATGGGAGTAAATTGACATTGACTAACAAAACGTCCATCATCCAATACAGCAACTGAACCTGGTGCTAATACACTTCCAGTATCGTTGAACAAATGAACAGCTCGAATAGCGTTCAGATCATTTATTTTCGGATCGTAATACAAGACTAATTCCCCATGTACAGACCATTTATCAATGGTAACTAGTGCACTTTGTCTAGCTGGAATCGTTGTAAGTGAATTTAGATTGTAGATAACATGTTCTGCCAAACCACTTATTTGAGCAGCATCCAGTGATTCGTAGTTTTCCTCATCTGTTGTGACTATTGGTTTTTTAGCACTGTTTGTGTTTACAGAAGTTGATTTACGAGCAGGACCAGGACCACCGCGTAGACGCAGAACAAGATGAAGAGTTGATTCTAAAAGAAAAAATGAGAACACATCTTCAGTTTTCTGAAACCATTTGCACACGGTATGTCTTTCTGCGATATTATTCCTAATATGTAATGAGACATATATTAAATATTGTGTTTTTCTATCACCATGTGATGATGGATCGTTTCTCCTTCTTTTTGTTTTCCTTTCTATGACCGTATTATTATTCAGACCTTGTTATTTAACTTTTTACCTACTATCCATTTCAAAATAGAAAATACTCGGATGTTTTCTGAATAACTTTTGAAAGAAATGAGCTACAGAGCTCCGGCTTTCGCCATGCAAAAGAGGAGACTTGGAGTCATGTTTTCATTTCAACTTCAGAATGTAGAGTATTTAAACTATTCTATATCCTATTTACAGGAGATCTCAAATGAAGTTTGACAAAACTCTAAGGATTTCAATAGGGTTTCTGGAAAAGCCAATAACAGAAATATGCTGAATATTTTAATATTAGGCGAAAACAGCCTGGAAACCCATATTTTCTTAAAAGTAGCTTTTCGGGAAATTTTTTTAACTTCTTTTAGAAATAACTATTACCACGATACTCAGCATAATCGATTACTTATAGTCCATCCGTTTTTGAGGGTACCAATAGTCACCGGGTTCCAGTCTTGAGACTTGCACGACCTCGACACAACAGTCAAGCCGCGGAAAATCAAGGCTAGTTTTTCAAAGATCTCCTGGATAACCTGTTTCAGAAAACACTTCTGAAAAAGTTTCTGCTTATGAAAACATGACTCAAAGTCTCCTCGTTCGCATGGCAAGGGGCGGAGCTGTCTAACTGACATATTCAGAATAAGCGTTTGAGTCTTATATATACTGCACAGTGTGTCATAATCATAAAAATTCCTTTTTTAGTAAAAGCTGGAACCAATTTGAATACTGTTTTGAACAGCCCGAAGATTTATTTTCTGTCAGATGAGGTGCATATCGCCATTTTAGAAGAAAATTTCTAAGGAAAATAAGGCATCTCTCGGCTGTCTGTAACCCTTTTCATCGAACTGCAGTCGATTTACTACTGGTTATATAAGTGGTGAAAACTACTAAATATTCCGATGAAAAAAGAGGTCATAGACAGCCTGGAGATACCTCTCAATTCTTTGCTCTATCAAGCCATATAGTTTGAAACATTTTCTAAGTAAAAACCAAACATTTGGTTTTCTAGCCGTCAGGCTTTCCAGAAACCCTGTTATCAAGCTTTCCGATAAGATGGTGATATGCACCTCATGTGATAGAAAATCTTCAGACTGTTCAAACAGTATTCAGATTGGTTCCAGCTTTTATTAAAAGATGAAAAACAAAGTAGTTCCTATGACTATGACACACTGTGCTGCATATATAATACTCAAACGCTTCTTTTGCATATTCTTAACCGGCGCCATCTGTCTAGATGTTCTGAGCGTTCAGTTTGTGGAGAATTTCACGGGCTGTCCGATGGTACATTTTCGAAAGATATATAGTTTTCCATTCTGACAGAAAAATGGCTAAAGGACTGTTCTGCAGGCGTTTTCGGTACTCCAACGTTTCTTTTCTATATCTCTGGTGAGTTATCCCAACCCCTCCTTTGTTCTAAAAGCAAATAGATTTTACCTTTTTGTATATTGTAGTCGCTCATCGTTCTATCATCTTCTAACTGCTTGCCAGCAAATATCAAACGTTGTTGATCAGGCGGAATACCTTCTTTATCTTGAATTTTTGCCTTCAAAGTATTAATTGTGTCTGCTGGTGATGCATCTAGTGTCACTGTTTTTCCGGTTAGCG